TCCAGTCTGTTGCTGATGGACATTTGGGTTGATTCCAAGTCTTTGCTATTGTGAATAGTGCCACAATAAACATACGTGTGCATGTGTCTTTATAGCAGCATGATTTATAATTTGAGTCAGGTCAGTCAAGGGACCCTAGATAAGATTACAATATGTGTAGCTTTTAAAATGTTTTATTTTTATAGTTGCATCTTAATTAGACATATCGGAGTTTTTGTGAAAAAGAGAAATGATTTATGATTCTTTTCATTGTCTTGCTTGCATTATGACTGAAATAATCTTTTACTAAAAATTTTGATAAAGAGAACAATAGTATTAAAATCATTTTTATCTCATGTCCTTTTTAAAACTTACATTGTATTCATATGCATGAGTGTACACAATTAAGGACCTCAAGAATTATAGAGTTTAAACAAATTATATGAAACTGAAATATAAAAATAAAATTCATGGAAGCTAAATATGTATGTAATGTTTATATCCTAAAGATAATACATTTTATTATCTTGTGTGAGAGAACAACTTTACCTGTTCAGCTAAGACAAAGTGTCATTTTATGAAGATAATTTTTCTTTACCTTACCCTAGTCTTTGCCTCTGTCTCTTCTTTTTTGATGTCAGAGATATCCAATTGTATATGAAGGAAAAAAGCTATTTAATATAATTTTATTTGGAACACTTCACTGCACTTGAAGTTATTGTGTTAAATTAATTCATACTATTATTCAAACCAGTTTTTCAGGCAAAACAAGTTTGTGTGTGTATCACTTTGTAGATATAGTGATTTCTAAATATTTTTCATTCTTCATCAATATTTTAAAATAATTTTATTCCCAAACCACTTAAAAAATGAAGGCATGGCTAAAAATAGTAATTTTTAAAAAGTCTCTTCTTGCAGCTACTGTTATTTGAATAAATAGAGCCTGGGTTAGGGAAGCAATATTCTGTCACTAACTTTATTTTCCTGGGTTAGGCATCTAAGCTCTTTGATTTTCAGCTTCCCAACCTGAAAGATAAAGTATCTTCGTTTAGTGAGAGTATTAAATGAGGCAAGATAACAAACATGAAAAATATATAAATATTTTTTATTTATATAATATATATGTATATGTATATAAATGTAAAATATATATGTATAAATGTAAATGTTCTTATGTAGGTATAAGGTATCATTTTAAAATTTTTCCTTTAGCCTGAAATAACTAATGACCCTTTTAATGTGAGTACTGTGCTCTCATTATATCTTAACTAAGTCAAACCTCCAATAATCTCCACCAAAGATTTTTCTTTGTCCTATGACAATTTGGATTAAATTGTCAATTTAAAATGATTACACATTAGAAAATATGAAGACAAGAGATATCCTAATACTTAAGAATAATAGAATTTTAAAAAATTCTTTGATATTAAATTGAACTTAATAAGTGCCCTGAAGGCAAATGCATCTTTTAAACTAATTATCTGTACTGTGTATTCTATTTAATATTAAAAAGATACTGATTAAATAAAATCAATCACATTCCTCTGTAGTCACACTTCACATTGGATTAAATAAAAATATACAGTTTCTGTATTAATTCTGATTAAAAATATATTACATTTAGAATCATGCACTCATGATAATTTTCAGAAAAACTAAAACATTTACTCTGTTCATCTTTGATCTTTAAAAATTAAGTACAGGAGAGTAAAAAAGGAAGTAATATGATAGCTAAATTTATTTTCTAATGGGTTTCTACTTTTCTTTTAGATCTAAGTACCATGGTTTGCTAATTGTAACAGAAATAAACTACCGATGGGTGTGTACATTTAATATATAACTCTTTGTCTATGCATTTTGATTGTAAATGAGCTTAGATATATGTTGGTTTTGTCACTCTTATTCTTGGAGTAAATTTCTAGTGTTGCTCTCAGAAGGCTGAGTGTTGCATAAGAAAATTCATAGGTCTAGTGGCTTTCTTTCTTACATATTTAAAACTTCTAGCTCCAGCTGGGTCATCAGTGTTGACTGATCCTTCTACTCATCCTTAGCAAACTGCTTTTTTATTTTCAGAAAAGAAGTGACAAACCTCTGTTTCATTACCTTTTTCATTGTACCACCTCTCTGCCAACCTCACTTGCTCTCTCATATTCCTGCTGCTCTGAGAAAGAGGAAGACTTCAGGTATGTCATCCATAAATTACCGATTAATAGCAAAGTGGTAGCTAGGTTTCAAATTCATACCACAATGTCTTTTCTTTTTCTTTTCTGGATAACTTCAAATGGGATGTATATTATCCAGCATGGCATAGTGTTTGCCTTTGCAACGTCAGACCTGTCTTACCTATTTGTATTATCTTCTTGGCCCCTGTGGGTTTCTGGATTTGAAACCCAAAAGGAACACATTTGGAAAAGTGCAATGCCTGTCAATAAGATCTTCTGCTCTAACTGAAATATTGCTTTTTCAAAAAGCCCTTGTTTTTCATTTATCTTTAACAGTTCCCTTTCTCTCTCTGTTCCTCTTTCCCAGCAGCCTAGAAACTTACCTCTATTTATTCATTTCAAGTGAGAACTCTGTTTCCATGAAAATAGTGCTCCTTATTTCTCTTCCACCCACTCCCACGACTTCTCTCCCAACCTTCTAGCAACTTCATAGTTTTCACTGAGATAATGTACATATTTTTATTTCATTGTAGAAACATCTTTTACACACTTTTAAGCATTAAAGGATATAATGAAGAGGTAGAAAGAACTTTTTTCTCTCAAATTTTATTACAAAATATTCACTAACAATACAAAAATCCGAAGTATTTCCCACATATATTCAATAATTGCTATTATGTTGCCATAAATTATTTATATATACTACTCTATATATACATATATGTGTATGTGTATATGTATAAAGCTGAAGCTTTTGAAAGTAAGCTGCACATAGTGTAACACCACATCTGTAAATATTTCAGCAAGCACCTTCTAAGACGATAAGGACAGTTTTCTACCTAATAACATTATTACGTTCTCACCTAAGAAAATTAACAATGATTCCATAATATCAGTCATTATCTTGTCCATATTCAAATGTCTACAGTTATCCCAAAAATGCCTTCTGTTGCTTTTATTTGTTTACTTTTTGGGCGTGGTAAAAGTGGAAGTGGACCAGGATCTATTTGAAGCTCCTGCATTGCATTTGGTTGCTGTTGTGAAGCATTTAGACAGCTGTAATCTTTTCACTTGGCTTTCCAGGCTGCTGTCTGCAAATGTATGCTTAGTAAGCATACACTCTTCTAAGGTAAAAGGCATCTCTGATTCATACTCTGGAGGCTGCTTGAAGTCTCTTATTTTGGTTGCTTGTGACTCTCTGAGAGTTTCCTGGGTCCATGGCACAGAATAGGATAAGGATCCATAGGATTACATTCCTGATCTGAATGAGAAGAACAAACTTGTATATATTATGATAAAGATGGAAGGACTATATCCATGTCTTGCAATGTTCATTCAGACCTTAAGCTTCAACCTGAAGCTAAGAAAGAATGATAATAAGGTTGGCAAATATATTTGAATTGACTCAGAGAGAAGCTAGCACAAATATTCATTGTCCCTGGTGTTATATAGACTAATTTGGACTCAGAAGTCAAGAATGTTACTGAAATCAGGAAGTTTTCAGTAAAGGTTCTACCAAACCTACTGTCAATTCATCTTCAAAACAACAGTAATTATTAGATTCTCTTGTAGAATGGGATAGTTGACCAGAGCTCATACTCTTCCACTTCATGGCTTCTTTTGGCTAGAAATCTGCAGCTACAGTACTTTCTACTTACATTACGGAAATATCTTCCAAATAGAGCTGGATTCCTGAACACCTTAATGTTTTGTGGGGCTGTGCTAGACCTCTTCTTCTTCTGTGTCACTTCTGAGTGCACTGAATTCTTTTAGTCCATCTCTATTCTGTGCAGCTGTGAGGGTGTCAGGTTTTACCTATCTCAGGTTCAGCTATTTTTTTTTTTTTTTTTTTTGGTTCTTGCTGCCTTTCTAAAATTTTCCTGGGTAAGGGAGTATAATAATATCTGGAGTCTCAGATTTTTCATACCCATCTTGGTAATCCAGCATTGCCCAGACCCTCCCTCAGTTAGCTCGTATCTAGGGAGGAAAAGGGAATATTCTGACTACCTCCTTCTTTTCAGGGACACACAAATATCTAAGAACTCCTGGCTTCCCATCCAACTTTTCTTCTCCTGCTCCAATATGGGGAATCTTTATCTAGTATTGTGTGTGTGATTTGTCAACTATTTATCCAAATTTGTATTTTATGTTCTCCTTTCCATAGAATGCAGGCTTCTGAGGTGATCCTTTATCGTTTCTTGAAAACAAAAAATACCTTTCTAATGTGAACTACAAAGTGGATAGTGGTGGTAGATAATGGAAAATACAGTCATGAAGACTAATGTCAGTATATTTCATCCCATCTTAACAAAATTACTCTCCAGTAAAAATCTTGTCACTTATTTAATTATTATTTAATTATACTTTTTATTCTTTTACTGATATTAATGGAATATGTTTTCTTATTTCCAGAGTATCGTGAAACAAAATGAACATCATAAACTATGTCTATGTTCAAAAGACACAGTATTTTTAGGAAAGAATGAGAGTTGGACTTCAAAATGAAAAGTGGGATGGGTAAAGGGGCAAGTTAAAAAAAATAGTGGAAATTGTTTATTAAAGATAATGGAACTTGGAGCTAAAGCTGGCCAAAGATGTTGATTAGCATGCTTTGGGTAGATGAAGTTGTGTTTTGGATAAATAATTTTACAACCTAACCCACTCTGTGTTAGATAATTTCTTATTCAATGAAAAGATATTTAATTATTTAATTCAAGGAAGCAGTAAAATTATACCAAGGAAATGTATTTTTAATTTACTCATTTATTTCACAGGCGTATAATGATATGAGAAACTTCATTGATACTTTGTTTTGAGTTTGACTCTTTTTCAGCTTTCATATGAACTTCTCTTTTTCAGCAGACTCTGCCCACTTCAGGAGTTTCTGTTCCTGAGGTGCGTAAGCAAAAACAGGTTTTCAAACTTACAATTATAGGTCATTATACATCTTGTATAGCTATAAAGAACATTTTGTGCTGGCTCAGTGACATTCGAATACCAGCATTTTATGTTTTATTTTTTTCATATTCTGCTAATTGGAAGTGGTGGTTTTCATATTTTCGGTGATGGGATAGACTTGAAGAATTTTCAATCTATATTTGTGATAAGCATTAAGAAAACAAGAAGTTATGTGACCCAGACTTCACAGAGAAAAATAAAGGTTACTTTACAAAAAGTTTTTACTAGCATAGAAAAATAATACCATTCCCATTTTTTCACATTAAAATGTACATACATTGCAAGAAATCCAAAACAATTTATGCTTTGAGCCGTCAAAATGTAAGTTTCAATGGCAGTATGTTGAGAGACTCTTGCTTACTTTGAAGTGCCCATCACTTTCAAATGAATACAACTACATTAATCACCTAGTCCATGCCATTGTATACAAAGACATCAGAATAAAATATAGTCACAGAATAAATGGCTTTTAATTTGAAAATAAATGTAAGCATTGCCACAACAATTATTTTCAGTAACATTTTTGCTTTATCTTTGCATTGATGATACAAAGCCTCCACATTGTTCTGTGACAATATCCTATTCAATTGTTATTATCTCTATAGGAAATGCCCAAATGGTCTTGTTTTCCTTAAAATTATAATTTAAATCTGCTTATTTTAGAAAGTATTACTTACATGAATGCTACATAAGATGATGAATTTATTTAGAGGGTAACATGCTTGCACAAAACGGTAATAACTGCTCTTTTCTCTTCACCAAAAATGGCTTTTTAATCAGTGTAGACCCCTTCGTTAAATTAAAAAAAAAAAATTCTCATTTTTAACCAGAGACATACTCAAAAATACTTGGAGATAACACTTAAATATAATGTTTCTAATCTAAGAAAATCTTAAGATGATTTTATATTCTTTGAGTTGATGACATTATTATCACGATTATTATTATAAAATAGAGATGCTAAATTACACACTTAAGTGACAAAAGTATTAGGACAGTTTATTATTTCATTGGGTTAAGTGTGAGAGAATTAAATTTTGCATCTCCGGTTCTTGAGTTTGTTTCTGCCCCTGTTATCAGCCCCATCAAGTGAATGTAGTCATTGCATTTGAGATGTAAAGTTTTCTCTTTAGATCTGTTAATCTCCAAAACATCCCTGTGTATTCAATTCTGTAATTTGTGTCATATAGATTGAGTAAATAGATCCAATTTTTTGTTTTTATATATTTTTTCAATTTTTAGGATAAAAGTCTTTATTTTGTTATGAAGTTTTCAAAAGTCTTCCTATACTTATTTTTTTTCTGGCACTATATATTGGTTTACATTAACTTAAACTTTCCAGTATCCCTCAAAGTCACTATATAAGATTTTTCAACTTTGTTGTTCCAAAATTTTCCTTAAGCCCATGCATGGATATATGCATGGCTGAGTGTGTGAATACACATATATACACACAGAGAGACAAGAAACCTTATGTTCTACCATCAGGAACATTTGCTCCTTGGTTAACGGAAAATGTGGTTAAAGTATATGTGGGAGAACATATAGAAAGATATATAGATACATTAAACGTTTAACTTAAAATATGTAAATTTATATTCATTGGCTATATTTTTGAAGATTAAAGGCTTTTCTATGAGTACAGATCTTCTAATTGGAAATGGTATCTTGCCTCTCTTGCATATATCACAAGCTTATTACTTATAATAGTTTCAATTCTTTTAAAGTATAACAAAAACTCAAGAACATCTGTGAAGTAATTTGAGTGTAAAAACACTTACTATTTTTATTATTAATACCCAAAGCTTGCACAGTTGTTCTCTCTAAACTTAATTTGACCACTCCTCAAACACGCCACACAGGCGCACACACACGCACACACATATACACACACAACTTGTGTTACTTTGTCTTTCTAAAGCTTGCAGATTATTTTTTATAAAGACAACTCTTTCATTTTGTATTCAAAACTCGATGATGTGAGTAATAATTAAATTAGACAATTACAATTACAAGGTAAGTTTTACTTAGAGCTGGCATAAACAGATTGAGGGCTAATAAGTCACTATGTTGAGCATTTAGCTTAGGTGGTACAAAGAGACAATGAGTGTGAGCATAAGAGAGCTGCCTCCTGGTACTTACTTTCAGTTTGCTGTGGAGGACAGTCAGTATGGTTTACAAAGGGATTGGAGAGTGAGGAACGTTGAGGTTGGTTACAAAGTCTGCTTTTTTTTTTTTTTTTGAGACAGAGTGTCACTCTGTCACCCAGGCTGGAGTACAGTGGCATGATCTAGGCCCACTGCAGCCTCTGCCTCCTGGGTTCAAGTGATTCTCTTGCCTCAGCCACTGGAGTAGCTGGGGTCACAGGCGCATGCTACTAGATCCAGCTAATTTTTTGTATTTTTAGTAGAGACGAGGTTTCACCATGTTGGCCAGGCTGGTCTTGAACTCCTGACCTTGTGATCTGCCCACCTCAGCCTCCCAAAGAGCTGAGATCACAGGCGTGAGCCACCACGCCCAGTCCAAAGTCTTCTTTTGTATATAAAGTATATACATACATATACATGTATGTATACTATATATACACACACACACAAACATACAAACATTATTTTATGATGGTGCTGCAATATACTATCACATAGCCAAAATTAAATTATTTTGGCATACACCCTCTTATTCCTTAATTTCATTCCCTTCAATAAGAATTTCCTTAACAGAAATCTTGTAAGTGGTTTATACCCAGGATAATATCCTAGGAGAAAATATGAACTTCATGTATAATGTATGAAAACTGGGACTTATGGATCAAGTCACCAAGTGTACCTTCAAGTTGAGGAAGCAACTAACATCCCCAGGTACTTTAAGACCAGTTGTCATTTTGTCTGCTTTGTTCCCCCCTTCTCTCCCAAAGACACCACAGCAATTATTCTCAGCTGTGGTGACTTAGTGGGCAAATAAAGTACAGAATGTTAAATGAAAACACTTCTTTACAACACTTACCTTCTACTACTATGACCAAGCAGTTTACCTGTGATTTACTTAATAATAAAATATGTAAAAATCTTTATCTGTACTTTAAAATCATTGCCATTTACTGAGTGCCTGTTTTATGTCAGTACTTTTATCTAAATTTTCTTACTTTTTTCTAACATAAACTTTCCAATTTATAGTTTAAATAAATGGTAGCATAGCAATGGTAAATAGCTTGCCCCAGGTTACACAGAAATAAAAGACAAACCTGCATTTTGGCGTCTAAGCTCATACTTTTGCCTTTACAAAAAGTCGTTTTTGCTTTTTTTAAAAGTACTTATTTAACTAAGTTTAAAAGAAATAAAAATCTTTAGACCTTATATTGTTTATTATATTTATGTTTAAAACTTTATAATCAAAAATCATCAAGACTGTTTTTTTTCTAGTCAGCAAATAGTTTTGCTGCAATTTTTGAAGAATACTAATAGATTTAGAGCCTTCATCATTTTTGGAATGAATTTGTTTCCTGCAGCCACTAAAATGTTCAAATCCCACATTAAGTCCATATTGGTTAAAGGTGCAGCTTTACAGTTTGTTAGTAAGTTGGTGTCTCAGACAGAACCTTTGTAAGTCCCACTGAATGTGGTGACATTTCTGCGTCAGAGAGATCTTAACTGCTGTGAATCTTTGTGATACCTTGGGTTAAAACTCTAGGGTTTCAGGAAAATTCCTGTGGCCTAGCTCCAGTGGCAGAAAGGACTAAGTCTCCATTCAGGCAAGTTGTGCAGTAGTAGCAGCTAAAGTAAGTTCTACGATTCAAGTGATGGCTGCTGTTGGCAGGAAAGCACTCGCCTTTGTAGCTTTGTACCAGTGGAGGTGCTTTGCTGCTGCCAGTTTCTCATGCTGAGATTGGACAAAAAGAAGAAAACCCTGTTCTTGAGGTAATCATCACTTGCTGCTTGCAGTTTGCCAGCGATCGATAACAGCAGGCTTAAGTATTGCGGTAAACAACCCTTTTGTGAAAGCAGTTTTCACCAATGTACAAATACTCTACCTCTGAGAATCAGCATGATGTAGACAAAGATTTTTTTTTAGAGCACGTATTTAAAGTGAGGTCTTTTTATTTTATTTATTTCATCTTTCTATTTTCTGTGAATGGTCTTTTTGGCTTTTCTTCTCTGTTTATTATGATGATTATTCTTTTGGAATTCTAATACAATATAATCCCCAGTTAAGATCTGTTGTGCTGCTTGTGGAGTCTACGGATCACAAAACACTGAATTCTATATTTAAAATGTCTACATAGCAAACACAAATGGTTGATATTTGAAAATGCTCAAATATCAATAACTGTATTTTATATTTTGTAGTTATATGTTCTATATTCTTTCATGACTTTTTTTTTTTTGTTAGAGTAGCTCTTTTCAGCGTTTGAATAATTTCTATTGATTAAAGAAACACTTTTCCAACTCTTTGTATATCTAGGATGATTTATCTGGCAGAAGTAAATTTGCCTTAATTACAACAATGTAATTTATTTTGTGGTTTAGAGCCCCAAAACATAAAGAAAGAAACTGAAGGTTAAATGGCAAACACTGTCCCTTATTATCAGAGAGCAATTTTATCCTGAATGATTGTGCAAACTAAGATTGGTGAGCTCTTTCTGAAAGTTTTCAATAAGTTCAACATTGGTAATTAACTCTCATAAATATCATAATAGAGGTCTGCCAGTCAGGGTCAATTGACCTCCCAAAAAAGCTAGTGAAACCTGGTGGAGAGGAAATTTCTCAAGGATGCAATTGCCTCCCCCTTCCTGTGCCTCATATAAAAAGGAGAGACAATTTTCTCAATGGAAATAGAAGAAAAATTAAATAGTGATGAGGCTCTCCTGTTTTTAAGATTTTAGCCTGGATTAATTCCACAAATTCCACACATTTGCATTTTTCCCCAAAGAATTCACTTGGTTTTCTTGATGCGTGTGTCTGTGTGTTTGTGTTTAAATGAATGCTCACCATTTCAGTATTAGCTAGATACTATAATAAAATACACAGACAGATGGATACACTGAGAATTTTAAAAATTAACTTGTTTTATGCTTCTGTCTCATATTCTGGATTTCATAAATGAAATCTCATGAGTTGAAAACTCTAGGGTTTTAAAATTTGTTTTTATTTATATATTTATTTTTTGAGACAGAGTCTCACTCTGTCACTCAGGATGGAGTTCAGTGGCACAAACTTGGCTCACTGCAACCTCCACCCCCAACTCAAGTGATCCTCCCACTTCAGCCTCCAGAGTAACGGGCCACAGGTGTCCACCACCATGCCTGACTATGATTTTGTATTTTTAGTAGAGACAGGGTCTCACCATGTTGCCCAGGCTGGTCTTGAACTCCTGAGCTCAAGCGATCTACCCGCTTCAGCCTCCCAAAGTGCTGGGATTATAGGCGTGAACCACCACACCTGCCTGTTTGTATTATTTCTGATTGCTTACGCTAAAGCAATTGTTTAGTCTCCTGCCCAGCTTACTTAGGGGGCTGACAACTTGGAGGGACATGATGCCATTTAATCAACTGCTATCTCTGCCAGTTGGAGGTTCTTAGAACACAAGAATTGCCCTAGATATATGTGTGGCTAAGAGTAAAGTAATATTAAGAGATAGTTTTGTAGCTCTTTAAAAACATATACTTGCATGTCTTAAATTTCCATTAAAACATGAATATATAATCTGGTGCAAATTTCCAGTTCCATTGTAACTAATCAAATTGAATTTTATTTAATTCTTCAAATGTACGCATTTTATAAATTGAAGGCCAAACAACAATTGTTAGATAATTTGGAAGAATAACTGTATTAAGGTATATCTTTCACATGGCAGATTTTTACAAAATATTGATTCCATGTTTTATATATGTGCATGCAAGAATGCTGGAGTAAATTATTTCCACACTCACCAATAGCATTAAGTTTTTGAACAGCTAACACAAGCTATGTGTTTTCAAATATAAGCATTGAACTTTTCAATTTTAAATATGTTCCTAATGTAACCACTGATTTTTTTTTCATACATACACACATTTGGAAATGCAAAAACAATGTTGATGAGCACCCTAATAGGCAACCACAACTATTTTACATCACTCATAGTAACTTTTATATTGAATACATACTTTAATGTAGGGACAATATTACAGACTATACATGTTCTATTAAACCTTACACAACTCTGAAAAAAAGGTATCACTATCTCTATTTTGCCAAAGTGTAAACCCTCTAGGTTACATAATACTTAAGTAGTAGAGATGAGATTCAACTCAGGCATTCTGATTCCAAACCTCATCTAATAATTCACTCCTCTTATACATTATGCCATTAACTGTCTATGAATGCAATTATAATTTGCGAACTTAAAAAGAAGGAACTTTCTTTTAAAAATCAATATTTTTGCCAGAAATTATGCTTATATGAAAGCATATCATTTTCCAAACAACTTGAATTTCAGGGATCCTATTATGGCATCCATTTGCAGCCACACACAAAATATATTCAGTGTTTTTGCACCATGGAATTGCAAGGTAAATGGACTATATGGATTAGCATTTATTTTAGTCAGAGACAATTTCTGATCCATCTAGCCCTAATATATTTAAAAACAGCTTTACTTTCAAAGCTACTTAAAAATGTCTTTCTAGGAATAAATTCAATGCTTGATAGCAGAGAAGGATGATTATATTTTAAATATGTATTGTTCTTGGGCGATGATCAGTCTAAATACCCTTACTTGATCACTATACATCATATACACGTAAAACATTTCTCAGTTACCCCATACATTTGCACAAATAAAACCCGATCTTTCTAAACTACAGAAATTGAAATGATACTCTAACAAGCAAATATAGGAACTAGGAAATATATATAGCTGAGTAAGTGATAGGAAATGTGTGGCACTAAAGCACTTAAGCACTCATGGCACACATTGCCAATCAATTAGAACAATTTTTCACATCAAGCCTAGGTCCCCAAGAATCCTTCTCAACAGTATGCTTCAAGAACTTAGAAAACTTTTTTTTAAAGTTTTCATTTATTTCTTCATTCATTTATCCTGACTTTCGTTAGTCACTGATTTAGAATCTGATATAGACCAGTGAAACAAAGGAAGTTCTTTTACTTATGGAACTTTAATTAAGATGAAAGAATGCAGGCAATTAAACAAATCAAATACATAACACTTTAGGTTGTAATAACTGATGTTTTAAAAGGGGGCCGAAAGGACTAGAGAAACTTCTCTCTGACATTTGACCACATGGTGAAGTGAGGACCAAGGTCAAGAAATGTGCAGTGGCAAGTTTTCCACCAGACTGAAGAATGTTTGCAAAATCTCTCAATTTAAAGCATGATTGTTATGATCAAGGAACAATGAGGAGGCCAGTGCAGCTGGAGTGTAGTAAAAAAATGGATGAGTTTGACTTCTGTATAGAGAACTGAGTGTAGGAAGACAGAAATGGAAGTAGAATGATTCATTAGGTGATAGATAATCCAAGCAAAAAAAAGATAACGGCTGTTTAAACCATATAATGAGGCAGGTGGTGAGTAGTCATCCAGTTTGAGATTTATTTTCAAGAAACAGAGTAGGCAGGAAATTTTTAAACTAATCTTAGAGATTTTACAATTACGTGTTTTAGGCCCTCATGTGGACATATAGAAACAGTGTCTGCATATAGAAATTAAGGCTCGGGTAGAAATCAGAACAAGAATTATACATTTAGAAATATTCATAAAAATGAAATTGAAAGCTGTGGGGATGAATGAAGTTACCTAGGGAGTAAGAGTAGATAGAGAAGATGAGAGGTCCAAGGAAGAGGCCAAGTCTTACAGGTTGCAAAGCTGGAGAAGCAATGGACAAAAGAGACTGTGAGGGCGAAGTTTTGAAGAAAGAGCCCTCAGAGAAAGAAGTGTCCTGGAAGCCACGTGAGGCAAGTTTTCAAAGAGTAAGAAGAGATCAGTTCTGTCAGATATGGCTGAAAGATTTGAGAAGATGAAGACTGACCTTTAGATGTGAAACTGAGATGAACATTGGTGATTTTAATAAGTGATAGTTTGTTGGAGTAATGGTTATACAAGTTGATTGGGTTGTGTTAAGAGAGAGTGAAAAGAGAGGAAAAGGAACAGGGAGCAGGCAATTCCTAAAAGAAATTTTTTTACTATGAGGAACAAAGTAATTAGATGGGATGGAATGTCAGTTTTAAGATATATGCTATTTTTGATATAAATAGTAGCTTAAAAGTCCATCATGCAATTAAAAATAATTTTCAATATTGCACATATTTATAAGCTTTTCTTAGTAGTCAACACCACATTCTTTAAATTATAATCCTATACCCGTTATCTGTATCATTGCATATGAAAATTACTTTAGTAATCCTTAATAACTTTTGATAAAGAGTCACAATTGGGCACATAGGGATAATACAATTTGGTATTCTTTCTCATTATTTCTTTAAATGGTGGTTCGATCATGAAACTATCATATATATTGAGCCAGTTGAAAACAACAGCTTTCACATTATTCACTAGGAACTTCAAATTAGAAAGTTGAGCCTGGGTTTGTACCCATGAAACTCTTCTATTAGTAAAACGACTTAACATTTCTTTTATGTTATTTTCATAATTTTTATTTTTATCAAAGATTTTCTTTTTTACAGGAAAGACAATCAACAGTGAAAAAGGAAAAGAGTGGTTCCCAGCAGCCAAACAAAGTGATCGACAAGAATAAAATGCAAAGAGCCAACTCTGTTACTGTAGATGGACAAGGCCTGCAGGTATGATTTTTTAAATCAAAATTTTACTAGGTTTCACATTTGATACTTCTAGGCTCTCAGAGGGGCATATGTTCAGCTATCAACACATTTGTTTAATCTGCATATTAGCTTAGTAGACTCTTTCAGAAAGATCTTTATTAATTTATCAAGATGTCAGTCTTATGGTTGATTGACAGAGTAACATTCTGGTTAAATTAATCATTTATGAGTTTATCTCCATTTAAACTCAAATTGGCAAGTGATCTTTTGAAAGATTTGCAAATTATTGCTAAATATACACATTTATTAAATGCATATGTGTTATTTATTTACAGGTATACTTTATATCTCTCTATATATTTATATTTAGTGTGGGTATGATTTAAAGAGCCACTTTGATAGCAAAAACGTCTTTAGGAAAGAAGAAAACGAACTCTGAATACATATTTTCTAAATAAATAATTTTTAATAATAAAGAACTTATTGTAATATATTTCCAGCTTTCAAAATTTTAAGTCAAAATTTAAACCCCAAATATATTTCTAGGTTAAATAAACACAGGTAGTCATTTTTTAATACTATTATATAAAAACCTATAAGTTATCTTTATGGTCTCTAGCATCAAGAATGACATTTTAAGACATTGCATGGGGTGAATGTATAACATTTACTTACCTCTGTTTTTTACCTGTATTTCTTACTTCAACAGGAAAATGGTCAATACATTTCACTTAATTTATGACATTGTGGATTTAAGTATGTTTTTCTACTTATGTTTTTGCATTCCAATTGCCTATACTTCAAGTTTCACATTCTCTGGGAATATTTACCAACAATTTAACATACAGACATTATGTCACACACTTGCTCTCATTATATTTGATTTTCTATCATTTTTTAATTTCTTACTTTATTTCTGATACTATAGATTATGTCTTTTGTATTTTTCAATATGCAAACACAGTTCAGGGCACATAGTAGATGCCTAAATCCTTGCTTCTTTATCGTCTTGAATATGTCATTAAAATTTAATAATAATTTATTAAATATTGATAACTAAGTTACTGTTTGTTTTTTATCTAAAAATCCATTGTGAATAGAAAAGTTTTCATAAATTATTTAACTCAAATATAAAAGGAGGGAATTCTGAATAATAAAATTATATATTAGAGAACAGAAAATTTAATTATAAAAAAGTAAATCAAGATGTACATTTTGGAACTCATATCCATATTTTAGAAATTTCATAGAAGCTGGCAAATATAAAATCTATCCACAATTTTATTAGCCAAAAATTTATTAATTAAATGATCCTATAAAATTTTTATTGAAAAAAATCAACATTTTAATTCAATATGTGGATGGCTAATATTGATAAGTTTAAATTTTCAGCTACTCTGGTTTCCTGGGATGAAATTAATGAAAGGGAAGCCTAATCCTGAAATCTAATTGTATTTCACATGACTAGGCACCTACTTCTCATCACAGATGGGAAACATATATCATTTTTTAAATAGGATAGCTTAAGCATTATGATGGTATTTTATATATATTAGCTTGTTTAATTCTCTTAATAAACATAGGAGATCAATACCATTATTATTATTATTATTTTCAAAATCATGTTGATGCTCAGAAGTAAGAAAAATTCCACAAGGACACAGTCAGTGGTAAAACCAAAGTTTGAATGAAGACCATCTCACTAGCGTGTATGTGTTTCATTCCCAACATACCCTGTTTCTTTGCTTAAAAATTTTTAACATGTATGTAACTGCTAAACTTCTGACCATCTTGTTCTTCTATGTACTTTTATATTGCTGCAGGCTTTGAGATAAAATTTATGTATGCAAAAGAATTTTAACTCCTCTAATCTCAGTTTTCCAAGATTTTCATAATCATATCTCAATTTTCATAATCATATCTCAATCATATCTCATAAAATACACTTAATATTTTCCCAGACATCAAAACCAAAATTAAATAGTACATACAGTGTTTTCAAGGTTTTAAACCTGCATAGTAATTTGTTTCATTTTATTTGCTATTTTAAAATGATCTGAAATATTTGACCTTATTACAACTAAATTAGTTACATTAAAAATCTTAGATGATTAACATTCTTCGTGGATGTGTTTCATCTCTCTAGCCAGATAATAACTTTTTATAACTTGCTTTGGCATACAAAAGTATCAGCTAAAATTGTGAGTGGGACAAGTATAGAAGTCAGCCCTAAAAAACATCAGTAAGAAAATACCATATGTGTAGTAATAATTTTTTGAATTAAAAAAAGTTGGTATAGAATCATGTGCAAAAGTCTGTTGTACCTCAGCAGAAAGGACCAAAATAGAATACACATATATAGCCACATAGTTTTGGAGAAAAAAAATAAAAGAATAGAGTTCTGGATAGCTATTATATGCAAAATGAAAAAAATAGTAATTTTGTGTTGTATTTATCAATTTTAAATACCAAAAGGCTTGTTCATTATCAAGAAAGGTAAAAAGATCTACCATAAAATTAATTTTTTCCATGAGCTTTAAAAAATATGTATCATTAAAAAGCATTGAGTTGCAGCCCGGTTTGCATATAACTCAGTGACAGAAGAGATCTACACTGCTTAAAGAAGACTATTAATCATAGTTAAGCACATTCATCTTATTTCTTTCCAGCTAACCAGCATAATGATCAGGATTATTATTTCTAATTAGAGGAAGTAATAGATCATGTATAACCTTAGGATGAGTCTCATTAATTAACCCAAGTCCTAGGGGACTTCAAATAGAGGTGGTTAGGCACTCTGTCTTTGTCATCACTCACACCATAGGTTTACACTTAATACATATGATCAAATGTAATTGAAACTACGACTTCTTAACATGCAAGAGATATAAAATTACAGATGGCTCTCCCACATGTGAACAACTAAGGAGAAAAACAGAACAATTGTTTAAACTGTATTTATGTTGAAGTTACCTTGATCCTAAATATTCTTTGAGAAACATTTCAAAATAAAAGGGTTATTAAGAGCTAACGAATCTAGTTTGTAACACTATTAGCACAAGAAAGAAAGGAGGACCCTTATGCTTAAATATCAAAAACTGAACCAGTGTCTTTCCTCACAAAACTGCCTCTTTCTTTTCTCTTCCTTATTTGTAATATTTTATTATTTTAATCACCAAGATGATAAACCATACACTCATGCACTAAATGTAACTGTATAGTACATATGTATGTTAAATTAATTATCTCTATATAATTAATTCACTTCCTTTGATGTGTGTGTGTGTACGTGTGTATGTCCTTTGCTCGTTTTAGAATTCTCAACCCTGTTGACTCTTTCATAATTAGCCCTTCATTGACATTCTAATTCTCTATCTAAATCCAGAATTATTACTCTACAGTTTTGAACATTATAGCAAACTTTAAACTGAGTATCTCCATATATATACAATAGTAGATAATAAATGATGTAAAAATAGAGCTGAGTAAGATAAGAAGTATCAGGGCTGAGAGTCAGAATTCTCTATAATTTTAAGTACAGTGGCTAGATTAGGCCTCATTAATAAAGTGATATTTGGGTCAAGACTTAAAAGAGTTGAAGCAGTAGATCATTTGAATATATGGGTAATGGACAGCCCTAAGGTAAGTATATGCCTGGAGAGTTCTAGGGTCGGTAAGAACTGTAGTTGGAGTAGGGTGGGCAAGATGGAAAGTGGTAGCAAGTAATTCAGAGAAGTAATAGGGATGGGAATTTTTAAAGGCTTGAAGGCTTCACTAAAGACTGACTTTTGATCTAAGTGTGATGAGAAGATATTGGTGGGAGGGATGAGCCGAGGAGTTACATGATTTAATGATGTTTTAAAAGGCTTACTCTTATAAAGATTAGATTGCTGGGGAGCCAAGAGTCCAGTAGATTACTGTTGAAGTTATTCAGGGGTTATAGAATGTAGGCTTATTAGGATGGAGCGGTGGAAGTAGAGAGATGTGATGGGATTCTATATATATTTTGAGGAAAGAGCAAAAGATATGCTGATGAATTGACTACAGGGTTTACAAGAAAAGTGAGGAGTCAGGAACTTCTCCAATATATTAATAGTTTGGACCATACAACTGGAATGATGAAATTGCCATTGACTGAGATAGGGGAGCATCTGTATGAATGTTTAGAAGGCAATTTCTGTTGCTGTTAGATATCCAAATAAAAATATCAAGTAGATAGACCAATATGTGAACCTAGAAATTAGAAGAAAGGACAGACATGAATTTGGGAGTGAAAGGCGTTGATGGTAGCCATCAGATAAGATGAGATCATTAAAGAACAGTGTGTATATAAAGAGAAGTGATTGAACTGGGATTCAAAACCAGTCTAACTCCAAAATCATGCTCTTTAAATATACTATTTTTAACTGGCCCTTTATATGATTAAATACGATTTTACATCATGAATTCTATTCAGTATGGTGGAGAATCCAGCGTGAACAGTCTCCTGGAATGCCCTGCACATCAAATTTATGACCATTCTTCAAGATTTCAACTACCACAGATGCTATAAAATCTTCCTAAACACTTTCTCTCTTCATCAGTTTTTGTTTGTTTTGTTTTGTTTTTGTTTTTTTGTTTTTTGCATGTGATACCATATTACTCTATCTCATTTATTGTTTAACTGTTTTGAAAAGACACTGGGTTCTGTACAGAGCCTCAAACACAATGGAAGAGTCATGGGAGATTGAGAGCAGGTTCAGGGTTCTTTCATGCTTTAAACAAATCAACTAAGATGTCATCTGTTCTATATGCTGTTCTACTTCAGATGATCTCAAATGCTGTATAAATATGTACTTCAAAGAATGAATAGTTTTAAGCTGACAGAATTTTTGATATAGTTGTGTTTTTGTCTTTCACCTCCTACTCCACCAAAATCTATCACAAAAGGGACACAATATCTTAGGATGGCAATAAACATGTTTTCAGAATAACTGAGTTTTACATCTTATTTCACAATTGTTTCATGAAAGTGCCATTTCTAAATTCATAGACAGATTAGATACAGTTCAAAAGAGAATTAGTAAGCTTCAATATAACATTGGTACCTAACTACATTGGTACCTCAGATCCCATTTAGGGTTCATCCGTTGTCCTAATAATAGTTTTTTTCCACAAAACTAGTCCAGAATCATATTAATTTTCTGTTATTGATGGTTGTATTGTGTGTGTGTGTGTTGTGTGTGTGTGTGTGTGTGTGTGTGTATATATATGTATATATGTGTATATGAGAATGTTTTCATATGTAGGAAATACTAATGTAAATGGGAGTGGTAGTGATGGAGCAGAATTTTGGCAACTTACTCCCAAGTGGCTGAGGGAAAAAGTTAATTATAGAGTCATTGCAACTTTTCTGTAAATTTGAGATTAAAAAATAAAAATATTACTGTAAAATTTAAAAAATATTAATGTAAGATATTTCCATAAAACTTTATTCACAAATATCAGATGTACTGAGTTTCAGAAACTAATAAAACTATTTATATTCATTTTATCAGTAGACATGTTTTGCATTGCAATACAATGCAAAGACAGTTCTTACCTGAGTGACCTCTCTGAAAACCAGAATCTGCAATCAAACAGTTAGATCAAATTAACTAATTGAAAGACTGCATGTAATAATATCTACAGTTTTACTTATCTCATACTTTATATGTTAGGACTGTCTGAAAATGAACTCATACTCAATAATGAGAAAAGTATTATGTAAAATAATGGTTGCTAATTGATTGATGTTATTCCTGTATATCCATATTGAATATTCAACATTTGCCACTTGTGGAATATCGTCATTGTTCTAAGCTCTTTAAATTCACTGATTTTTCTAGTACATTTAATCTGTTTTTCCATTTAACTACTCCTAAAAATTACATCAAGATTTTGTATTTTATTTTGAGATGCCTTACAGACGATAATCTATTCCAATGGGATATTTGTTCATAACAGTATATAACTTAAAACACAATTTTAATTCCCCTTTACTTAATAATTTATAGTGATGTCTATAAATATTCTAACAATTAAATATCTCTGAAAGACATTTCAAAGCATAGTTTGAAAATAATTTGATACATTGGACTCAGTATGAATTTTTATATAATCTCATATAGTTATAAAATGAATGTTGACTTTAGGGAGAAAAGGAAAACTCATCCTAATGAGTATTTGGGGTTCAGATTTAATACTTTGCTCATGCTTAAAAGTCTATTTACCTTGAGATTCCCATTTCTACTTAGAAACAATTCAAATTGACTAAAAAATCAACTAAAACTACATCTATTTATTATTGTGTATTTGCTTATGAAAACGTTAGGAGTTTCAGCTTTGTAATGGGATGAGAAATAAAGAAGATCGAACGCAGGTTTTTAAATATAGTTGTTTTTTGGTGGTTTTTCTTTTTTTTTCATTTTAGTTTTTAATGGGAGGAAGGGGTACCCATTGCAATCTGAGCCACCATGGCTTAAAGATGATAGGCACTTTATATACATTAATTGATAGCACACATTTGGTTCAGGGGAGACCTGGGAAGTTAGTGCAGAAGTTTCTCCTGCCTATCCTTCTCCCAGCTGAATTGGAGACAAATTAGGAAGAAAAAAACGTTGTCCTCTTTGCAATGGAAAGTAAAATAGAAACAGACACAGTAAATTATGAGAGCTAGTTGGATACGAATAGAAAAATTACGAGTGTCTCACTCAGTCTTCCCAGTTCGGTAATGTGAAGATTTTAACATTTCCCTGTTGCCTATTCTCATTAGAAAAATGCCATTTTACTAAATAAGTGGAGGAAAATATGTTAGTAGAATTTTTTAACTTATATAGTTAAACAGGCAGGAAGGAAGGGCATGATATGGTAAAAATTAGTGTTTTTAATTGTCTCATTAAATATTTAAGAATACTTTCTAGGGAAGAAATAACACTGCAGTAAAGATAATTTGAATCTACTTTCAAAAAAGCAGATTGATCCAAAACTGTTCCACTTAGTATTTAGAGGACACAATTAGCTGAATATTTTGTTATTAATTTTTTTTTCATCAAACTGTATTTAGATGGGAGTTATATAGGGTTACATTGAATAGGAATACTTTTATTTTAAAAAGTCTATTATTTAACATTGGACTCAGGTAATAGACAACACTTGTCTTTTCCCACCCTATGTAAAACAACTCTACCCATACAAATACATGCCATCACCTTACCTGCTTTATTTCCCATCATGGCATGTTTCATTACTAAATATGTATTTGTTTATTGCATATTTCTCCACTATAATATAAGCTCCATTAGGACAGCAACTTTGCCTTTCTTGTTCAACTGAGAGCTGAGTTGTGACGAAAGCAGTAGCACATGATGTACAGTCAAGTCAATTACTGTTACCTGAAAGAGAGATCAATAGTTAATGGACTCTATTTAGCAAATAGACTTGTTTAACTAGCAACCTATTCAGCAAGCAGGAAAAGAAGGCACTGAACAAATTGTGTAGATAAGGACTCTTAGGCCAAAAGGGACCTCAAAGGATCTTATTGAGTTTCTTTCTAGTTCACAGGTGGTTGGGAAGATGGATTCCATATATGCCTCAAAACTCTCACTTAGGACTCCTGCATAAAAGGAGGGCTCTCTATAAGTTGATCTCCTTCTTTGCTTCTCATCCCTTTTCCCTCAAATTCTGCTTTATTTTGGCTCATTCACTTACTATCTGAAAATTGTAACTTTTGTTTTCATCTTACGGGAATTACAAATGTTATTCCCTTTTCCTGACTGCCTTCCCCTCTGCCCTCTTCCTAGATAGGCATGCCTTTCTTTGTAGAGGAAGTTTTCCTGTTGAACACACCACACACACACACAGACACACACACACACACACACACACACACACACACACATATTGCAGAAAGTAATATTATTGAAATTACGTATTGGTATTTTATAATTTAGAAATAACAAGGAGTCTTATTCATATATAATGGGCCTAATAATTTTTCCATATATGTAACTTTTCTTATAGATCACTCCTGTGCCTGGTACTCACCCACTTTTAGTTTTTGTGAACCCCAAAAGTGGTGGAAAACAAGGAGAACGGTATGTTTTTAAATTAATTTTACTGTCTATTTCACATATATGTTAAAAAAATAGACAAAACGATGATGTAAAAATGCTTAAAAACAATTATTCCTGTCTGCTAATTTTAATGCAAAATAAATGATGCTAGCATGTAATATGTTTATGTAATCTTGTTTTTAGGATTGAAATTTTAATACAATGGCCTTTTGTAACTATTTTTATTATTATAGCTCAGGTGTTTGAATTATCCCTACCCCACCTATCACCCCTAACAGAGAGTCTGGCTTCATAAATACTGTTGAATGAAAATTGGTTCTCTAAATGGTTACCAAGATGAATCCAGGTAAATCATAACTCAGTACTGAGGAACAGAATTTATACCCAACTCCTAGGCAAAATATCTTATAATGATTTTCTGCATGTGCTTTTTGGAGAACATAATGCCATATTTCCTGGAGAAGTACAATATATTTAATCTGAATATTAATGAGTTGCATTATCAGGTATTTCAGCATTCTGGTTGATAACATTTTATTTTGTAAAGAATGAATGATTAAATTATATTATTTAATACAAATATGAAAATCACTACATTGAAGAGTAAATCTTATGTCTTACTAAAGATGACATTCTCCTAATCTCAATCAAAAATAAGCAAGCAGATGAAAGCACTCATAACAAACATGACAATAGTATAACAAATTTCCTTTGTAGTTCACCAAATAACAAAGTTGAAATGTTTCCATGAATAAAGTAATTTTTTCTACCATTTAAATTTCTAGCTTTCTTTCCATGAAATGAAGAATGCTTTTCATTATTGAATCAACAAAACATTGTTGCTTTAAAGAGTGTAAGATTTTTATCCTAGCACTTTGGGAGGCTGAGGTGGGTGGATCATGAGGTCACAAATTTGAGACCAGCCTGGCCAACATAGTGAAACCCCGTCTGTACTAAAAATACAAAAAAATTAGCTGGGCATGGTCATGGGCTCCTGTAATCCCAGCTACCTGGGAGACTGAGGCAAGGAGAATCGCTTGAACCTAGGAGGTTGCAGTGAGCCAAGATCGTGCCACTGCACTCCAGCCTGGGTGACAGTGTGAGACTCTGTCTCAAAAATAATAATAATAATAAAATAAAATAAAATAAAAAGAGTGTAAGATTTTTTCTTTTCATCAATATCTAGTTATATTTTACACCTGTAAACATGATAGAAAATATTTTAAATGAATAATGTTTTAATAATTAAAAATATTCCCAATGCTTTATTAAAGGGAATAGTTTTACTCATAAAATAATAATTAAATAATGATGCTGAAATTACTTTCTTCTTTACTACTTATAGTCTGTTAGCTGTATATATTATTGATAGCTGAACAAAAAAGAAAGCCACAAATAATTAGATGAGACTTAAATCCACATTGGAAATTATAGAAAATTGAAGCCTGAAGAGAAAAAAAAAAATTTTCAAAGGAAAATAATTTTTTCTCAAATTAAGATAATATGAATCATGTAGAATGACCCTTAATTGAATATTTGCCTTCCCTTTCTGCCAGTACATATAAATAATTTTCCCTAAATTAAAAAAAAATACATATACATATATATAGTTACACTAAAATGTTAAGGAAATTAAACTTACTGGAGGCTTCAACTTTGAACTCTTCTCTATACACATCCACTTGGGTTTTGTTCTTTATTCATTGACTGGGACCATGCAAAGTCAAATGTAATGTAAATATGTTTTAAAGGTGATCTGTTTTGAATACAAAGATAATTTTTCTGCCTGCATTAGAGGCACTTTTCACAAGGTGATTCCATTCAGTGTTTTCTTTTCCAAATTTCTTGGCTTTCTTGACTTTGGTATGTTAGACAAGTTGCAAAAGGTCACAGAATCATAAATCCACATAAAGTTTTCCATATCAGTCAATAAGTCTGAAAATGTTCACATATGTGTTCAGGCAACAACGCTTAGTTGAATCCAAACTCTGCTAGTGACTAGGAATAAGAGGCATAAGGCACAGTCATGCAGAGAGGCAGGGACATAAATAGATCTATTGCAATACTATATATTATAGGTTAAACTAGAAATGTTTAAAATAAAAGTTCTATTGAAGTTCAGAGAAAGAGATAACTATCTCTGAAGACCAAGAAGTCTTTAGAGAAGAAGTAGCTTTTGTATTGTTTCTTATATGATAGATGTTTGCCTGATGAAAGAAAGAGAAAGACAGACTTGTGAAATAGCAGGGTGTCAACCAAGAGGAATTTACCAGGATGATAATGTAAAGAGAAAGAGGGGAAAGATGAGAGATAAAGTGTGGCTGAATTGTGACGATGTCTGAATTTTATATTGTGAACAACTGGACACTGGCATAAACTTTTCATCATGGATAAGGCATGACTGTACTTAGACAATAGTATAGAGGAGGGCTGGATTGCCAAGAATTTTATAAAGCTGGTGAAAGAACTTGAAGACCTTAACTAAGGCAGTGGAATAGAATAGCCAGGTTTGATAGGCATTTTTTAAAGTTTGTTGCCAAGGACAACGTCAGATAGGGTGTTTCCTAGGTTTTCTTTTAGGAAGACATAGAATTGTCCACTAGTAAGTTCAGGTGCCAGGGAAAAGAGGGTATTGAGAACAACTCTAGGTGATATAAGCTGATATTACATACTGAATTTGGAGAATTTTATCAGTAAATATTATAAGAAAGTGTTTATAAAATATATAATCATATTTTCATATGTGTATAAAACCAATTTAGTAACCTAAATATATCCCTTAACTTAAAAAAATCTTTTTAATTTCAACTTTTATTTTAGATACAGGAGGTACATGTGCAGGTTTGTTACATGAGTATATTATGTTCAGGTACCAAGCATAGTACCCAACAGGTAGTTTTTTTCATATCTTCCTCCACTCCTTCCTTTCCCACTCTGGTAGTCTCCCATGTCTATTGTTCCCATGTTTATGTCTGTGTGTTCTCAATGTTTAACTCCTGCTTAACATTGCATGCAGTACATGCAGTATTTGGTTTTCTGTTTCTATGTTAATTCACTTAAATCTCCATCCACATTGCTGCAAAGGACATGATTTCATTCTTTTGTAATGGCTGTGTAGTATTCCATGCTCTATATGTATGGCATTTCCTTTATCCAGCCCACCATTGATGGAGACCTAGGTTGATTCCCCGTCTTTGCTCTTGTGAATAGAACGGGAATGAAAATAAAAGTGTATGTATCTTTTTGGTATATGGTGTGTTTTCCTTCGAGTTTACACCCAATAATGAGATTGCTGGGTTGAATGCTGGATCTGTTTGAAGTTTTTTAAAAAATATTCAAACCATTTTCTACAATGGCTGAACTAATTTATATTCACAACAACAGCATAGAGGCATTTCTTTTTCTTTGCAGCCTTGCCAATATCCACTGATTTTTGACTTTTTAATAATAGCCCTTCTGATTGGTGTAAGATGGTATTTTATTGTGGTTTTAATTTGCATTTCTATGATGATTAGTGATGATGAACATGTTTGCATATGTTTGTTTCCTGCTTGTATGTCTTTTAAGAAGTGTCTGTTCATTTATTTTGCCCATTTTTAATGGGGCTATTTGTTGTTGCTTTTTTCTCATTGATTTAAGTTCCTTATAGATTCTGGATATTATACCTTTGTTGGATGAATAGTTTGCAAATATTTTCTCCCATTCTACAGGTTGTCTCTACTCTGTTGATGGTTTCTTTTGCTGTGCAGAATTTCTGTAGCTTAATCAATTTCTGTTTTTGTTGCAATTTGAGGACTTAATAAAAATGTGTTGCCAAGGCCAATGTCGAGTGGTATATTTCCTAGGTTTTCTTTTAGAAATGTGGTTTAGGGTCTTACATTTAAATTTTTAATCCATGTTGAGTTAATTTCTGTATGTGGTGAAAAATAAGAGTCCAGTTTCATTTTTCTGCATATGGCTAGCCCACTATTCCAGTAACATGTATTGAATAGGAAGTCCTTTCCCTATTGTTTATATTTGTTGGCCTTGTTGAAGATCAGGTGAAGGTTTGCAGCTATATTTCTGAGTTTTCTATTCTGTCCCATTGGCCTGAGTGTCTGATTTTGTACCAGTACCATGCTGTTTTTGTAATTGTAGCTTTATAGCGTGATCCTTCCATCTTTGTTCTTTTTAGCTTAGGCTTAATTTGGCTATCCAGGCTCTTTTTTTGGTCACACATGAATTTTAGAAGAGTTTTTTTCTAAGTCTTTGAAGAACGACATTGCTAGTTTCCTAGAAACAGTGTTAAATCTGTAAATTGCTTTGGGCAGAGTAGCCATTTTAACGATAGTGATTCTTCCATAAGCATGGAATTTTTTTTCTTTTTTCGTTTGTTTGTGTTATCTCTGATTTCTTTCAGCAGTGCTTTGTAGTTCTCCTTGTAGAGTGCTTTCACCTCCTTGTTTAGTTGTGTTCCTAGGTATTTCATTTTGTGTGTGTGTGGCTATTGTAAATGATATTGTATTCTTGACTTGACTCTGCCAGGATATTATTGAAGTGCTGTTGAGTTTTATAAATTTATTTTGTGTCCTGAAACCTTGCTAAAATTCTTCAGTTCTAGCAGCCTTTTGGTGGAATTTTGAGAGTTTTCTGAGTATAGAATCATTATCAGTGAAAAGAGAGAGCTTGACTTATTTTCTTATTTGGATACCTTTTATTTCTTTCTCTTGTCTAATTGCTCTAACTAGAACTTCCAGAACTATGTTGAATAGGAGTAGTGAGAATGGGCATGTTTTGTTCCAGTTCTGAAGGGGACTGCTTCCAGCTTTTGCTCGTTCAATACGATGTTGGCTGTGGGTTTGTCATAGATGGCTTTTACCATTTTGAGGGATGTTCCTTTGATGTCTAGTCTGTTGAGTATTTTATTTTTAATGAAATGATTTTGTATTTTATTAAGTGCTTTTTCTGCATCTGTTGAGATAATTATATGGATTTCCCTTTTAATTCTGTTTATGTGGTGAATCACATTTATTGATTTGTGTATGTTGAACCAACCTTTTATCCCAGGAATAATGCCTAACTGATTGTGATAAATTAACTTTTTGATGTACTCTTTATCTCTTTACTTTTAGTATTTGTCTAAGCATTCATACCATGTGAGATATGTGCATGCATAGAAACATTTTTATTGCATTTATTTACAAACATTGTTTTCTTTCAGGAAAAAAAATTATTTAATACATGCTGCTAAGACAGTTTAGCAATTTTGTGAGATGACTGGTCAAGATCTTGTTTATATGAAATGATTAGGCCAGATGAGGCTACATTCTTTGCTTACATGTACATATATACAATATACCGTCCCATTTCATATAGACGATAGATAATTTTCAGATCTATTAGAGATCTGTAGAGGACAAAGTATGCACAAGGATTTATTGAGAGAAGATATTTAAGCAATTTTATACTGAAATATTTAAAAAAATATGTGTTTATTTGAAATCCAATTAGCTAAATAATGTTCAAAAGAGGGTTAGAGAATATTCTAAATGCATATGCATATTAAGGATGCAAGCAATATTTCTAACTTATGAACTATATTGCCTTAATAGTGACAACTAAACCTTTTAAAAAACCATTAGTTCCTATTGAGCTGTTGGACTTCTGATATTATTGATTCAAAATTTAGTAAATTGATAGAATTTTTTATTAAATTATATAATTAATTGCAACTATATGTATTTATAACACTGAGAGACATTACTTATTTTAAAAGTGTTGAATATTATTGAATTTTTTCCCATATTTTCACTTTTATAGAATTTACAGAAAATTCCAGTATCTACTAAATCCTCGTCAGGTTTACAGTCTTGCTGGAAATGGACCAATGCCAGGGTAAGTCCAAGGATAATATTATTACCATTAACTCAATTAATGTTAATTAATTAAATAAGCTGCCTGACATATCTAGAAATGTTATTTGAATACAGCAGCATATTAGTACATAAAAATGAAATATCAACTACATAAGAGAAACCAGTGCAAATACTGTTTTTCCAAATAGTCCATTTCTAGCAGATTTGTCTTCTTTCTAAATATGGTGAAGTAATGCTCCTTATTGTACTAATAATGATAATAGTCACACACACAGAGAGACAAACTAGCTGAATGTTAGTTTGAACACTGCCACACCATGTATTTGAAGAACCACTCTCTTTTTTGTACTTCTTATATATATTAAAAAAAAAGAGAGAGAGAAAGTAAAGAGCTAGTTAGCCCATTTATGCTGAGTGTTCCATTACTGGAGCACTAAGCATGTAGGAGTTATTTATATCCTACAGCTCAAGGTCATCACCGAGATCTGATTTTTAAATTCAAGTTAAATTTTAAAAATTGCAACCTCCAGCATAAATGGGTTAATGAAAAAAAATCTTATGATTTATTACTTACAAAATCTAATCGCTATCATACATAACATATTATAACATACTTCATTGTTAACAGGTAAGTTCTAGTAAAATAAAATATATTTTTAAACATAAATGTATACTTTTGATGTCACTAGTATGCACCTAAACAAATCATCATTAACTTGGCTTAAATAATTAATGTCATTTTCTTTCATTGACCTCTTTTCTCTCTATCAACATGAGGGTAAACATTAGACCACATGAAGTGGACAGAAGCTCTATAAGATTTATGCATGCTTCATATTTTTTTTAAAAAGCCGTTGATTTAAAATAAGTCTTACATCTCATTCTCAGGAACCAGAAACCAAATATTTTAATTGTACTCTTTTAAAAACTCAGAATAAAATTTGTACCATAGTGTCTGATACAAAAAATACATTCATAAAGTATAATTAATTAGCATAGTTTTCAGTATTATATTTGGCTCTTTCTTCTACTGCCTTGCTGCCTGCTGTCTGGGATCAGTTTCCCAATGCTGAGCAGCAGTCTGCAGAACCTCCTTCCTGTAGATGACAGGCTCACCACAGAAATTCAGTTCAGAACAATGTCTTTGTCAAGCTCCACACTCCAGAATCTAGAGGATCATGATCAGACTGTTGGCTAAGTGAGCTGGCTACATGCAGGAAGTCCCTATATAGATAAAGCCAAGCAAAAGTAAAGTTTTGTAAACTCAGAAGCTCAGTCAGAATGGCTCTTTTTCTTGTCCTTTAATATTCTCTGAAATTCAAAAAAGTAGCTCTTCTGCAGAATTAGGATATTGTGCATTCAAAACTGTTGCCATTCCAAGACCCCTGTAAGTTGAACCAAACTAAGTTAATGCAGGATTTTCCTGTATTTCATAGTTAAACAAAAGGTCAAATGGCTCTGCTAATTACAAGCCTTATAGTTTAACCTCTGTGTGACTTCATTATCTTATCTGTAAAATGAGTATTTGTGCCTGCCTTGTAGGATAGTTGTGAAGTTAAATGGGATAATGCCTATGAAGCAAATAACAATGTGCTTACCGCATAGCATGTCCTCAATGAATGTGGCTTATTATCCATATTATTTGTACAAATATGAATTAATAATTAATAAAAACATGACTATGGTATAGTTCTATGTAAATAAATTGGAATAAATTTGATTTTAGCCCTGTTCTCTCATTTCACGTCTTTCCTACTACCCTTTAAATATGTACTACCTGTTTCCTTCTACTCTTTCAATTCTAGGCATCCTATTATCTTCTGCTCTATCTTATTTTAAAAATGAAAGTAATATATGTAACTGTAAAAAGCCTACACTACAATAAATATTATTTAGAAAAAAATTTAACGGTCCCACTTCGAGCACTACTACTCCTCGGAAATTAGGAGTGATTGTTTGGTGTATCTTACCAAACAATCTAATACAAACATGTAAATGAGCATATTCCTGTCTATCTATACTATATTTATACACACACACACACACACACACACACACACACATTGGAAAGATAGGTAGATAGTTTTTTACATAACAGAATATAGATTTTATATTGGCTTGCAACTTCCTTTCTGTACTCTAAAGCAGGTGATACACATTGTTCCATTTCAGTAGATATTGATCAGTTTCATTTTTCTAACTGCTGCATATTCCATAATTATGTGGGCCATCACATTACTGATGAATATTTAGATTGCCTGTGTTTTACAATTATTACCAAATATACTACATCAATATCTATCAACTTATCTGCATATTCTTGAAAGTATGTTCAAATATTTTTATGGAATCAGTGGCTATGGGTAGAATTGCCTGGCTGAAAATATTCAATGTCAAAAGTTTGTTTTAAAAAATGAAGTTAAATATTTGTGTTGAACTTTTAGCTTCATCTTGATCACCATGAGAATGTCCTGTTTGCCTCTGATACTGATGCCCACACTGCATCCTTAGTGTCAGACTCAGACTTCTATTAGAGAGCTAGTCTTCGTTTATCCTAAAGGCAAATGCCACAGGTAGTTGCTCAGAATGGGGACTCTGACCAGGCTATGATGTTATCCTTTCTTTGAACCCAGTGACTGATCTCCTCCCAACCCTGTTTCTAGCTGTATTGCCCCTCATCATGCTAAGAGTGTCCTATTGCAGTGATTCCCTTTTAATGTATGGCTTTAGAAGTTGCTCTGTTTCATAAATTCTCCCTATTACTCTGATACCCTTGGTGATTTATACATTTTAGTTTTATCACTGTTTCTAGTTTATTAATTTTCCAATGCTAACAATAGATTTTCTGAATGCATACTCTTGTAAGTGTAGTATGCATTTTATCTATCACTTTAAACCTGCAGTTATTCATTCTTCCAAATTCTTTTAAAATTTTTATTTCCTTTTTACCACACCAGATGGATGTATTATTTTGGTATACAACTCTTCTTTTATCCCAACTTTATTTTTTTTCAAAAACTTTGTTTATAAGAGGAAATAACTTTCTTGAACTAAAACTATTCCTAATCTAAACTTTCTGGCAAATACTAAAACTTATTGGGCATTTCATTTTTATCTTTAATTATTTTTAAAACAGAAATGGGTGTGTATTACGTGTTTCCATTCTATCTCTTTATATAAATCATCTCTCTCTGATCCTGACTATTCTGTTTCAAGGTGTCTGAAACAATAGTCTATTTCAAATCATTGTTTCTTTCCTAATGGAACATGTTGTGATATAATTGAATACATTATTTGGAGGTATAGGTTAGCTAGAAGAGATGAAATATAAAATATAAATTACTCTTGGGTTTTACATAGCAATATGTTTTCCTTCACTACATTAAAATAAGTATGTATAGCTCTAGCTGTACACCAACTTCACATGTTAATGTGACTTATGAAAAGTTCATATCAAGTTTTTTGTATACTTGTGACATTACTTTTCCCCTTCTGAGTCTAACCTTCACGAAAATACAGATGGTCTATTCTCACATTATTTCTAAAATTTTAAGTGAGAAATAGGAAGTACTTATTGAATTGAAATAAAATACAAGTTAACTTTAAAATATGTAAATTATTTTTCATATTGATCAGGATAATTAAGAATAATTAATTGTTTGTGAGAAAGCTGCTCTTAGAAATCTTTGCTTTCATCTACCTGAACTAAATACAAAAGACACATATTTTAAAACTATAATGCAACAGTCAACCTACAGATTTACATATTTCAAATATCATGCATATTTCTATAGTGAAACTTTGGAATACATTCTCCTATTAAAATAAATGTATAATTTAGAAAATGCGTAACAGACTCCACAGATTTCATTACCTTCTTAATTTAAAATATCATTTTATATAACCAAATTTCTACCATATTTTATTTAAGTAAAATCTCTCTTGAATCCGAGCTTATGACCTTTTACATATACTTTTTGTTATGAAATTATGACACAGAAATTAAGAGAATCCTCAAAAGGCTAAGGAAATGTTCATCAAAATTTAATTGAGCACTTTTGCAAATTTCAAAAATAAAAATTTTTCTTTACTAATATAAAAGCAAAGCACTCAATTCTCTCCTTCTTATGATTAATCATAAAATAAAATGCAGATGATTCTGCAAGCTCTCCCCCAATTAAATGTGTAAGCATAATTCTGATTCTGCCTTGGTCACTGGAGTGATAGAGTTTGAAAATTGATTCATGCTTCTAAATTAAAGATCTACAGATTAATAAAAGTAACAAAAATATGTTATCACAATTAATAAAGTCACATAATTGTTTGTCTTTCACACAAATTCCCCCCTTGAGTCATAGTAGGTTTTAGTCACTTTTTACATGCATCCACAAATGCACTATGATTTTAAAGATGTTGGAAAGTCTAACTTTTATTATCTATCTCACCAACAAAGTCCAAATAGCAATTAGACTAGAGATCTATGTGTCACTGTTTAAAGACTATTGTCTATCAAAATTGCTGAAACACTCTAAAGAAACAAACACATTCTGAATTGGCCATTTGAAATGCCCGGTTCATATTTGTGTATGTGCTTTAACTTGTGTTTTATTCTGTTCTGGCTGCTATAACAGAATCCCTTAGACTAGCTAATTACAAATAATAAAAATAAATGTATTTCTCACAGTTCTGGAACCTAGGAAGCCCAAGATCAAGGGACCAGGAGATTTGGTGTCTGCTAATGGCTCACTTTTTGTTTCCAAGGTGGTGTCTTCTTGCTGCATCCTCTGGAGGGAATTAATGCTGAGTCCCCAGAAGGCAGAAGGGTAGAAAAACAGCTGGCTAGTTTCCTCAAGCCCCTTTATGAAGGCACTAATCCCATTCATAAGCGCAGAGTCCTCATCACCTAATCACATCCTCAGTACCCCACCTCCTAATACTATTGCATTGGGCACTAAGTTTAAGCATTAATTTTGGAGACATATGAATGTTCAAACCATAGCATTCTGGACTGGATCCCCC